TTTTGAAAACTCTAAGTTTGGAATTGTAGCACTTTTCTTTCTCCAAGAGGAGAAATTTGCAAGACTTCCAAATAAATTTCTCCAGTTTGTGAAGCAGAAATGCCAACAGTTCCACACAAATTACTGGAGTGTTTCACAATTTCTCTCAAAATACCTGTCAGAAAAGTTCTTTGGAGGGAGCACATGGTGGCATTATACTTGCCATAAACAAAATATACCCATCCATGTGAAGAGTCTGAGGTGTTAAAAATGAAACCTTATAAGAAAGTGGTGACACTGAAAAGGAAGACCAACTAAAGATCCAGAAGAAGTAGATTACTATGTTGGTGTCCCCTAAAGCCTAGCACATTTTCTTCATGGTTTGCAAAGTTTGGCAATCAGAAAGTGCACACTGAAAACTAGAGGTGGGAATCTGCCACTTGTCTGACCTTTGTAAAGTAGCAGTCTCTTTGTGTACTGTTTTGTTCCATATGTAGGTCAATAATATAAAAATTATGTATAACTAAAGTGCCAAATAAATGAGCTATTTTTACATCAACAGTGACTGAAGAAGAAAACATTCTGCCCATAGAAATCTTCATTGTGACCTCTAATTGCAAGGTTTTTCTTTATCAGAATCCATAGATAGTAAAAATGATGAGTCTGATTCTCAGCTCTTTTTACATTTATTGTCCCTACTGGTAGTGGGTAGGAGATGAACTGGCACAAGACACATAAGTGCGTCAGTTGGAACTCTTTTGGTTTCAAACTTCAGGTCTCAAGAAAAAAGCCTGGTGTCATTTAAGGACTTGGATCAGGTGGCAGAGTATGGGTCCTGTTGCCAATACCTGGTGGTCAAGGCTAGATTGGGCCTTAAAATGGGAGGGAGGGTCACCCTTCAGAAGGATGGGGAAGAGATTAGATAAATAATACCTGTTCACTAAGAGTACTAAAAATAAATAGCTTTAAAAAGTAAATTGTGTGCCAAACTCTTCTAAAATTCATTTATTCCTTACAATCTCATGAGGAAGGTATTTTGTTAATGCAGTTTTTCAGAGGTTAAAATGAGGCACAGAGAAAATAATTTGCCCAAGATCCCATAACTTGGAAGTGGCAGACGCGTGATCTGAGCCTAGGTATCTTGACTTTCGGTAGAACTGTCTACCACAGCAAGAAACAAGTCAATACGAGAAATGTGAACTGAAATATGATAGGGTAAGTCTCTGTGTGCAAACATTTCTTCCAGAACTCTGCTGATGTAAAAGGGAACTTGCTAAATGGTATTAGAGGGCCTTTTTAATGCTGAAAACAGTAACGACAAGAAAAAAACAAAAAAACAAAAACAAAAACAAAAGCATGAATGTATTTGATATATGTATCGGGTATAAATACACCCATCTGTATTGGGTATAAACGTATTGGATGCAAATGTGTCTATAGAGGGATTTATATCAAAACATTAACAGTGGTTATCTCTGGAGAGGGGAGTGGGATGCTGGAGCAGAGAAGAGAGTATTTCATTTTGTATCCTATGATTTATGTAGAATGTGGATAATTTAAAAATATGTAGTATAAAGAAATAGCCTGATTGGGGAAAGCAACAGCAAAATGCCTAGGTGCCCAACATTAAATATGAAACTAGAAAATTGGTTTCAAATTGGTTTCTGTATCTTACTTCTGCTATTACTTGAGGATATGGCTGGTGAAAACTACCTGTCTCAAATTTCTTTCCCAATCAAGTAGAGAGGTGACCATGTTTTTCTCCTGAAACGGTGTGGATAATGCCGTCTTTTCAGAATGTAAGTGTATTAATGGTTCATACATATAGCCCCTTAAGTACTATGTGATCTTTAACAAATATTTTAATTATGAACTTCTTCAAGCATGCTAAAATCTGGAGTCATAAAAGTACAGTTGACCCTTGACAAATGGGTTTGAATTGCTTGGGCCCACTCTTATGTGGATTTTTAGCAGTATAGTACTGTAAACGTATTCTCTTCCTTACGCTTTTCTTAGTAACATTTTCTTTTCTTTGGCTTTATTGTAAAATTACAGTATATAATACATCTAACATACAAAATACGTGTTAATCAACTGTTTATGTTATCAGTGAGGCTTCCAGTCAACAGCAGGCTATGAAGATTTGAGGGAGCCCAGAGTTACATGTGGATTTTCGACTGTGTGGGGGATTGGCTCTCCGAATCCCCATGTTATTCAAGGGTCAAATGTACTTGTTTTCAAACTGCAGTTTATAAAATAAAATACTACAAACACAATTGATGACACCTGTAAATCTCCCCAACCCAGCACTCATTTCTTGGTACCGACCAGCAAAACTGTATTTTTTTCTATGCATACAGCTGTAATATACGGTTATCATTTTGCATATAACTCGTATCAGAAAACATGCAGTGCTCCACAACCTGCTTTTCTTGCTCATTTTTGAGCAGCATCCATGTTGACATGCATAACTCTGGTTTGCACATTTTGACTGTTGTACAGAAGGCTATCATATGAATGTACGATCAATGTTGAGTGCCAGTTGGGACTCCCCTCAGCTGTTATACGCAAGGCTGCCATGACCATTTTTGTTCATGTCTCCTTATGCACATGCATAAGTACTTTTTAAAGGTAACATGGTAATAAGTCTTTATTCGCTATGGTAAATTTGATGGTTGTGCCAGTGTATTTTCCCACCAACAGCGAGAGTTCCACTGCTTTGCTGTCCTTGACAACACTTGCTATTTTGAAACTTACATTGTTGCTAATTTGATGGGTGTGATACAGTACATCCTTATGTTTTTAACTAAAACTTCCTTGAGTAGTGAACAGTATTTTTCCCATATGTTTCTGGCCTTTCAGATTCACTCTTTTAAGAAATCTACCTTTCGTGGGGGCACCTGTGTGGCTCATTCGGTCAAGTGTCCAACTTTGGCTCAGGTCACGATCTCACAGCTCGTGAGTTCAAGCTCCGCGTTGGGCTTTATGCTGACAGCTCAGAGGCTGAAGCCTGCTTTGGATTCTGTGTCTCTGTCTCTCTCTGTCCTTCCCCCGCTCTCACTCTGCCTCTCTCTCTCAAAAATAAACATTAAAAAAATTTAGAAATATTTTTGTTTTTGCAGCATGTGCATATTTCTATTGTAGTATTTCATGAGATTTAGGAATTTTTATAACATATATATTATATATATAATATATATATTAACATTCTCGTGGCTTATGTTTTCACTTTTATAGTACTTAATGTGCACGTGCCTTAAATTTTAATATATTTAAATTTACATCTTTTACGAATGTCCCTTTGTGTCTTATTTAAATAACTTTTCCCATGCTAAGGTCTGAAAAAATGTTGAATATATTCACTTAAGTTTTAAAATATTAGTTTTAAAAGTCATCTTTAATCCAACTCAAATATACTTGTTTATGATTTGAAGTAGGGATCCAAATTAATTTTTTTCCAAGTGGATAATCAAACAATTTTTTAAAAAGTCACTCCTTTCCCTACTGGTTTATAATAACATAAGTTTCCATATATTAGGGTCTCTTCAAGTCCGATTTAAGGAAATAACAGTAACATTTAACATTTAATGTGTATCTGCCATGTATCAGGAACTAGTCTAAGCATGTTAGATGCTTAGATTGTGCACTTTGGAGTTTGTATGGGCTCACATGTACACTAGAGAGCCCTGATGAATGATAGGTTTTACTATGACTTGTTTACTGGCTGATAAAGATATGGTTGTCAGGTGAAAATCATAAATATGCTGGTTGACACAAACCAAACATATAACTTGCTTTTATTAAACATTGAAAAAAATCAACATATCGTCCAAAGAGGCAGACATCCCAAGAGCTAATTTAGTGAAAACCAACTTAACATCAACGTGTTTTACAAAGCTTTGAGAATAAATGAGCAATTAGATTCTTAAAGTAGGACTAGAACATGAATGAGCTCTAGACCCCAATACAGTTATAAGCCAACAAATTAGGCATGGTTTGGCTTAATAGTTTTAGCTTTAATGTATATATATATATTATTTAGAATATTAGCATCTGAACTACATAATGACTTTATCATTTTATTTTAATTAAAACAAAGATTTCTGGAACCTCCAAGTAGTCTTTGAAGTTCTCCAATATGGACATATACTAACCCCTATTCCTCACTACATATCAAATGTGAAATAACTGTCAATATAGACCAACATTTTCATAAGATTTCTAAGGCTTCTGGCACATAAAATATATCTGTGTGACAACAATGTCATGATTATATACAAAAAAAATATTTAAAATGTTCCTTGTGCAATTTAAGTTCTAAAGATTAAAAAAACAAATGTTCCATGTTAATAAAATATTAAAATATTATAAGCTTCCCATAAATTTGACATTGATTTTGTAATTACATAAAGAACACACAAGATAAGGCTTGCACACTAAGTGATTCATCATTTAAATGAACTGTCGAACCAAATATACTTATTTGATATTCTTAGATCTCTAGATCATACTTTCAGCCAAAATACACTTTAATATAACTTATAAACAATTCCAATTAAACTGTAACATTGAGGCAGCAAATGTCAGATCTACATTTGCCTACCTTTTTATGTGTCACACAAATACAAGTCTATGAATCTTAATTTATTCTTTTGTCTAAGTCACCATTGTAGAGAATGTGTCAGTAAGTGAAATCCACAAAAGGTGACGAAGTCTCTTTTGAGAAAAATGAAAGTCATTAACACCTTGTCTTAAAGTTCTAAAGCAGCATAGTCAGCTTTTAAGGCAAAAAAAAAAAAAAAAAAAAAAAAAAAAAAAAAAAAAAAAAAAAAAGGCCCAAAATATTATAACTTATAAATTCTGTAATTCTTCTTTTGGCATTAAAAGCCACAGCACAAATTCTTACACTTTAATAGACAATATATTAGTGTACATCTGGATATACATTGGCCAACATTCTCCATCAGCATGACATTGTTCTGTGAAACAGAGGTGGTGAAGTGCATTGTGACAGGGCATATTTAATGGCCATCCTGGGCATCAGGGGACATGGAATGGCTGAGTCTTGACCTTCCATTCACAGATATTGTATTTGATGGAACAGTAACCTAAGAGAAAGAAAGAAGCACAGTTTGCACCCATCAAGTGAAAATGGCACAGCTATCTAATTTTCAGTTTTCAACAATTACCACTTTTGAACTTCTGTATAATTGTAAGCGATTATATTTAGTGTTCCATATTCAATAAATCACAAATGATTAAGAATGTTCACTCTACCATAAAATTAAAAATGAGAGAGTTGTTATTTCCACAACAAACAAGTTAAATAATCCATTAACACATCTTAGCCTTCACAAAATTACCAAATCAACTCAAAGGACAAGAGCACAAACAGACTGCAGGCCAAGCTGTTGAAGAGCATTTTTTGCTAGGTTAATTCTGGCTCCTCAAAGCTGCCTTGGAAAATGTAGAAAAATAAAGCGAATTCCACAAAACAAAGAATTTTTGTATTGATGGTATATATTAACTTGACGTTCCCCTCCCCAGGTACTGCTTGTTTATAAGAAAATACAGCTTTGGTTTTTAAAATGCTGTCATTTGATGGGCTAAAAAAGTCAAATCTAAGAGTGTTATGTCAAAACAATTGCAGAATGAAAAGTAGTTTTCTTCCTCCCAATAAATAAACTCCGAAATTCCAAGATTCTATGGCAAAGTCTCCTATTTACAAATGGTAAGTGAATGAAATACACTAAGAATTTCCTAAATAGCTTGAAATTCTAACATTTAGAAGAATGTTTTAAAAAATCATCTGGATTCTGGATAGTAAATAGGTATAATATTTTGAAATATTATACATAAAATATGACAATACTTTTAAAAAATGGTTAATGTCTAGTTATAATTTGAATAGATTCTTAACCAAACATTATCACAAGAGAACTGGAGTACAAAAGGCCACAGATTCTGCCTTGCGTCAGAGTAAGTTCCTGAAAGGGAAAATAAAATGGGCAAATTCAGTTCGGATTTGATTTCCTAGTGCTTCATTCATGGCCTTTTACTAAAACAAAGATTGGTAATCGAAACGAATCAACTTTCTTCACGATGAATCCAGGATGGAGTAGAGTGGTTGACACTAAAACAGCTAAAAGAAAAGTTGCCACCAGGGGAAGGAAAACTCCTGCACCTTGTTTAGTATTCACGTGGGGTTCCTTTCCAAATATAGCCAACAAACAGGTAATGACCTTTCATTATGTAACTTTGGCACGAAAAGTTTCAGTGTGTAGGGATGATTTTTGCAATTGTTGCCAAATTTGCAGTGGTCATAATTCTTTGTAAGAAAAAGAGACAAATTTTAAGCATTTAAAAAACATACCAATGACCCTAATGCAAATAAAAGATGTTTACTGTAGCACCATTTATAGAGTGGAGAAACTAGAATCTAGTGAAATGTACACCAACAAGGAGCAAATAAACTATGGTTCATTCATATAGTCAAATACTCCATAGTCTGTAAAAGAATAGTGTGTATGTGTAATAAGATGGAAAACATCAAAGAGATATTTATGAATGGTTTACAGAGGAGTTTATTTTTGTACAGAAAAATTAAATATGTTTATATACTAAAAAGTGGTCTGGAAGGTTTCACTTTAATCTATCACGAGCAATTACTTTAAGGGGAAACGGTATTTCATTTGATATTTAAAAATTTGTATACTAAACTTTCAAGCATGAAAAGACATTATAGACTAGTCTATAAATTCTGTGTGGTCAGAAACCTTGACTATTTTAATGCCACATTATACGCATGTTTATTTTAGTGCCTGGCACGGTATAGATCAATGAATATTTCTTGAATGGAATACAATAACTTTTTATAAACATTTATAAAGTAAAAGAGTGTTGCTTGAATTTTTTGAATAATGAACATATGACACCTACGATAAAGATATTTTTTAAAATTAAAAAAATTTAAACGTTAAAGAATTTACTAATATAAGCATTAAAGAATTTACTAATATGAGCATCTACTATTTGACTGTCTCAACTTTAAGTTTAAAGAATATCAGGAATATTCTTGTAGTTTTCTTATTCTTGTAAGGAACATTTGCTATAAAACTGTCATTTATTAATATATATGGAAAGAACTGCCAACCTGAAGCCCTCGGATTGTACAAATTCCAAACAAGGAAGTATGAGTAAAAAGCAGACCAATTAAATAAAAATGCCAGTAAGTTCTGGGCGACTTATCCCATAAGTTCTGGGTGACTTATCTGGTTTCTTTCTTCCTTCCAGGTTTTTATGGAGCCAAAGATAAATTTTACATTCTGAGGAAATGGTTAATATCAACTACTAAATACCATTTGTCACTTTATTTTCATAAACGTATATTCTACTTGTAATAGTGTAATAACCTTTAGTAGCTGAAGCATCAACAGGAACGAAAAGTAGCCAGAAAGTTCTTGTATCAACACAAGTAAAGGATCATAGTTTACTTAATCTCATATTCTCTGAAAACAATCTGCTGATTCACATATAAATCTTTATGCCAAATACATTTTATAAAACAGTAAACTAGATTTATTAAAACTAGGAAGACAAGACAATTCTGTGACTACATGGGGGTCAAAGAGGGGTAAGGTGTGGAAAAAAATCTTAATATGAAAAAAAAACATGGCATGTTCATGACTACATTTACACTAGAGCAATCAACTAGATAATTGTTCTAATGTGAACCAATTATTATAATGAAGGTTAATTATTCGGGTATGAACCAGAGCCATAAGGCAGGTTGGTACCTGGAGTTAAACTGAACATTTGGGTGCCAAAATATAGGCAAACCTGGAGCCAATTTTCTGATGAACAATCTAAGCCCACTGTCAAAATCACTGAAGATTTTATTTGGCACTATAACTGTTGTTCTATAAAAGAAATGTTAGAATTTAAAACAAACCAGGAGAAATGTTCAGTACAGGATAGAAATATGGGACTTAAGCAAAGATCACAAGGAATCAGAGCCTTTTGGTGTCCATTTTTACTTCCTTTTGCAATATATTTTTTGAAATACAATACATGTACAGGAGAGTGCACTGAACTTAAATAAACAACCTGATGGAAACAAACACAAACGTATATATAATCCACCACTCAGGCCAAGAGAATAGCTCCAGCTCCCTACTGATCTTGTCTTTATTTAAAATGTTGACATTTTCTTTATCACAGGTTTTTGCTTTCATTTAGACGTTTAAAAAATCTTGCATTAAGATAACATTTATCTTGATTACTTAGTTTTTTAGTTTCCTCTTAAATTGTGTTGCCTGTCCTTCTCCTACAAACCCCAGCAAAGCCTTTTCTCTCCCTGTGGAAGTAACCCTATCATGATTTTTATAATTACTTCCTTGCTTTTAAAAATAATTGCCACCTACGCATGCATCGTTAAATAATATAATTTAGTTTTGCATGCCGTCAAACTTTACACATAGACATTTTTATAGGTCTTTACCCTGTTGTGTTTAGGTGTACTTTGCCCAACTTACTGCTGTTTGATAATCCATTCTTTGAATATATTGTTTATTCTGTTTTTGGATATTAATGTTATATTTACTTAGAGCTATTACAAACAATATTTCATGAATATTCTTATAAATGTGTCCTGGTACACAACACACACCTTTTTAGGGTATAATTAGAAGTGAAAATACTGATCATAGTGTGTCAGTTCCGTGACCTTTACTAGACCCTGTGTTCATTTTTAGTGCAAAAAAAAAAAAAAAAATTGATTATGTAAGGAATTTTCATTAAACAAAATTCAGGAACTGGCACTACAAAGACTCAGGGCTATTGATAATCTCCTACTGAGAGAGATAAAATTTAGACTTGATGGAACCTCAAGTAATGACTTATAAACAGGATACAATTATAGGATCATCATTTAGAGCCTGCTTTCTATGCTGATTCACATCCAGCTCATTCTGGAAGCAAGGAGAGTTTTATAAGTGAAGAGACTGCCAATTTAGAGCCCGTATCACCAAGCACACAGCTGCTTGCCTGTACAGTTCTGTTGGCCTAAAAGACATTCCCAACTTAATGCACTCTTTTCTGCAATTAGTCCATTGGAACTGATTACTATTATCCACGGACTTAGGAAAAGGCACTGCAGTTACGTTCTGTCTAGCTACTTGGTTCTCCTGTGGACCTGATGTGCCACTGCTTCTCAGTCCCAGGCTGTGAACACCCAGAAGGCAGAGGCTTCGTTTCATTCATTTTTGTATCCCCGGCATCTAGGACAATGTTTAGTACTTTTGTGCTTAAAAAATGCTTATCAAGTTTATTGAACTGAGAAAGCTTTACATTTTTTTAACGCTTATTTCTTTTTGAGAGAGCGAGAGAGCGAGGGACCACACGCGTGCACAGGGGAGGGACAGAGAGAAAGGGAGACACAGAATTGGAAGCAGGCTCCAGAGCTCTCAACACAGGGTCCTACGTGGGGCTCAAACTAACAAACCGCGAGATCATGACCTGAGCTGAAGTCGGATGCCTTACCAACTGAGTCACCCAGGCACCCAGAATTGAGAAAGCTTTAGATCAGAAGTGACTGACTTGAAACTGAACCTTAATTTACAAGATTAGAAAGAGAACTATTTTCTTAAGTGAAGATGTACAGTTTATTTGCGTGGGCATATTTCCTCACAAAAATATAAATGTCGTGACCTGTGAAATACCAGTTTCAGTACTCAAAACCACCAACTTTTTTTTTTTTTTTTTTTTCCTGCCTGGCACCTGAATTCAGATTCTGCAAATACTTGACAAAATTCAAACCTAATCTCCTGAATTATTCCTTCGTGTTTCCTCCACTCCTGACAGCAGGCAATATTTTGCCCTGTCTCCTTGTTTGCCCAGATGGGAGCGCCAAGCCCTCCATGAAAACAGCCGTCACTCATGGCTCCACTGAAACACACTGAGGAAAATGGTGAGCGCAGACAGGGCTGGCCTTGGAGATGTGCCCGAGATGCCCTCCCCTTTTCCTTCTCTCCTTGCAGCATTCCTGTCCCTTCGCAGATTTTATTTCTGTTGAGCTCAGTGCTTTGCTCAACAAGTCTCTTACTCTTCTCTAAATAGCCTCTAAAATGATTAGAGAAGGAATTCACAAAACGAAATGCCTAGGGAGTCAGGAGAATAATGAGTACTTTTCTTGTCTTGAGTGTTGAGGAACTTGCAACCAAGACAACTAAGGGGAGAACAAGAAAGACATTTAGGGAGACTACAGCCTCTGGGAAGTCCAAGTTTTGATGCCAGGCTCCAGGCTTCACCACGTAGGACTTCTTTGAGTGGATGAAAGCAACAGAGGGAGGAAACTCACCTCTAAATAATTCCCTGTGACATTTTTTTGGCATTTGCTCCCCAAAAGAAGCATACCTCCCTTCCTGAAGTTCTCCTACATCTCCGTAAGGAGGAGCTGGCCACTTTGGCAGGGCCTTATTAGACTAGACTTTCTGCCTTCGGTGTCATCTAAATTCCCTAGATTTTCCCTACATTTTTTAACCTATAAAGCCACCTGCCCCCCCGCCCCCTCATTCTCCCACATATGGTAGTTGACTTTGATCATCGTGGGAGCCAGGACTGAAAACTTGCACGTTCCTATTGCTAGTGAGGCTTTTCTGGAATACGGAGGGATTTTCTTTCTGAAAGAATTTTTCTTGCTATGCTAATACAATTTATTAAAATAAGAGTCCAGGGTACTTTCTATATATAGTTATATAATAATGAGCAAACCCCATGTTCTGCACCTGGCCCATGTTGTGGAAAATAGACCGGACATATTTTTAAGTATGTGTAAGACTCTGGACTCTTTCAGCTTATACTTTAAAAATGACCCTTGACATCAAAGAGCAACTTCTGGCATCCTCCCTATTCAGATGCAAGAGCCAGAAAACAATTTCCCCTAAGTATTAGTTTGACAATGTTGAAAATAAACCCACTGTCACCCATCTGATAAAGAAAACTTACCCTTTTCAATTTGGCAGCAGCCTCTCCAGAACGGATTGCAGTGAGCAAACTCTGTCGGATCTGTTCTGGGTCAGAGCTTTGGAATGTTAAAGAACTTTGTCTCTTAAGAATGAATGATGGGCAGTCAGTTGGAGATGGTATTTGGGAATTCTGTTCGTTATGTGTAGAGTTATTTCCCTATAAAAATAAGTGCAAAATATTTATATGAATACCAACTGAACAGTGGGCCATGAAAAAAAATTCATCATCAGTGTATTTTTAAAGAATCACTATTTGCCACACTGGTGTTTTAGACATAGTTCTGTTTCCTTCCCCAGTGAGTTACCTCTGCTGCCCGAGCTCAGTTGGAAGATGAGGGTATTACCTTCCCTTCTCTTCAACTTATGAGGCTAAGGAAGAAAAGTGGTACCTCTCTTTGTTTTACGAATACACTAGTAATTTTACTGTCCCTAGGTCAAATAATGCCGATTTTTGCCAATGGAGTTGGCCAGAAGAGCCAAATAATAAGAAAAAAAAATTCCATAGGCTAAAAAAATAACACATTTTTAAAGTTACAAAATATTAGGTTTTTAAATTATCATTTTTGACAGAACAGAATGGACAAATTGACAATTTTATATTGGTTGAATCTAACATAGCTTCTAATAAAAGAATATTAAGGACCATGCTACATGTAATAGCTTATTTTGTGTTAATGGAAGTCACAGGGGCTAAGTGATGACCGTGTTTTCTTTATTTTGCCCATGGACTAAAAAACATTAGGAATTTCCAAATTTAAGAATCAAAATTTAATTAAACTTCTTAGGCAAGAATATTTAATAACCAATTTAACTGGGAACTATTATCAAATAATCTTAAAAATGTCTTTTTTAAACTGCCAAATATCTTTACAAAAGATGAGCTAAACAGAGCTTAGGCAATGACTCAAAAACTGTATTATCTAAATCAAGCTCTGTTGTTTAGGAATGGTATTCCATTCCAGGAAGAAACGCAGGCTTTGTTCCCAAGTAGAGAATTAATCTCTACATCATACATCTCTTCCTGACATTATATCAAAGATAAGAAACATAAATGTAAAATACATGAAGAAATAGTCTTCAAGATGAATACTGCTTTGAAATTATGGAAAAATCTTTACTTGGCAATATGGTTAATGTTCTGTTACTCTACGAATGTTTGAAAAAGTAATATAAAATACTTCTGGAACTGTCACACAAATCTGAAAGTATTCTTTAAACAGTATCAGGGTAAAAGTACACAAAATATTTTTTAAAAATTGCATGGGGATTATCATAATTCATACTATAAATTTCATCCTTTCCTTTGACTATATTATTTGAATCTAGCAAATTATAACACTTAGTTGACCAAACACTAAGTAAATAAATGCCCTTTTATGTAAATTATTAAGGTTAGATAATGGTTAAATGATATTTTAGTCAACATACATATAACTGGAAAAGTTAACACTGAATTAACAAAAATGTGAAATTAAGAAAATTACATTTTGAGATTGAAAATTCTGGTTTCAATTTAAATTATTTATATGTGTCAATGTTTGGTAACTAAGGTTGAATATATGTGATAGAAAATGTATAGTTGAGAAGTATCTGGTTATATTAACTAGTCTTTACTGCTTATGTTTCTATATAATTAAAACTATTTTGCTATTATGTAGAAGTAGAGTAGAAAATAAACCAGAACATCCAGAAAAGTAATAAACAACTTGAGATAAGCAAAACACAGGAAAATAGAATCAGAACTATAAACTAGTACAATATACAAATGTATGGCAAAGAAAATTTAAATTAAAATAGGGGCACCTGGGTGGCTCAGTTGGTTAAGCATCTGACTTCGGCTAAGATCGCTCAGATCATCATGATCTCATGGTTTGTGAGTTGAAGCCCCGCGTTGGGCTCTGTGCTGACAGCTAAGAGCCTGGAACCTGCATCGGTTTCTGTGTCTCCTCTCTCTGCCCCTCCCCCACTTGTGTTCTCTGTCTCTCTCTCTCTCTCACAAATAAACATTAAAACAAATTTTAATAAAAAATTTAAAAAATAAATTAAAATATTTCCTAATGATACAATCATTTAATGACCGTATAGTAATACCCAATCAAGTTATACGAATTATAATAATTCTGAGAGTAAATAATCAGATGTTATGTATTTTTACTCTTTATTCCCTATGGTAGCTTGCCATTGGATTAATATGAATTCAGAGTTAAGTAACACACAAATATACAACATGCTTGTTAACCCCCATTTAAACCACGTTGTATAAGAACCTCTGATTTTTAAAAAGGTCACATTACCTTATCACTCACAAGTAGTTGTGGGATGCCCACAAATTTATTTACAGAAGGAGCCTTCCCTTCTTCTGTGTCAGGTGGAGGTCGGGCAGCTGCACCCTCACTGCATGACACTGTGCGCACTTTGCTGAGAGATTGTGACCGTTTCACTACAGCGAGGGCAAAGGGTGAGGGAGCAGAGCTCGAGTAAGGTCTCGGTGCACCAAAAGTTTTCAAAGTCTTCAGATTTAGTGCAGCTAATTGATTCGCAGGAAGAGGAACAGGTCTCGGGGCTATGGGAGGTGGAGGGGTTTCAGTAGGCTTCTGGTTGCTGATGTTATCATCAGCATTTTTAATCTGGGGCTGTGGAGGAGATGGAGTTGTTTTACTTAAAGGAGAAAGAGTTTGTTCTGGAGGAGGTATCACTTCCCTTTCCCCCTCTTTCTTTATTAGTTCTTTCGGAGTAGGGTTAGGGGCCACATGGACACCTTTGGCAGCTGCAGATGTCACATAGTGACCTGAAACTCTTTTTTGCATCTGTAGGAAAAAAGAACTTGGTTTGGTCTGGGGATTTGAAACCCGAGATTTAAGTTTTGACTCCAAAATATTGTTTATATCTTCCAAATTTGGCACGAAAGGAGCTGTGCCAGTGTCCCTTGTCATTCTGGGAGTAGGTTTCAGAGGACTCCCCATGGCAATGCAGGGTGAGTTCTCCACGCCATGGACCTGATGCTCTGTTCTTGGGCTCGGCTGTAGTTTAAGGTCTGCCTGTGGCCCCTTTGGGTTGTCGGAAATAACAAGATCTTCTGTTTGGATTGCAGTTTCTTTCACATTTTCACCAGTGTGCTTTTTTCCTAAAGTATGGATCTCGTGATCATCTTTATACCCAGTGGTTTCTGATTCCGAATTTTTCAGTATCTCCAGGGTCTTGGGAGGCACTATTTTATAAGTAGTCATTCCAATTTTGGGTATGTACTCTCTTGTGATTTCATTTGAAGGTTTTGGCTTGGGATCATAGTCTTGTCTATAAAGTGGATAATTCTTTGAAATAGTTGAGTTTTTATCAATCCCATCTACAGAAGGCAAAAGGCCATCATTACCACGTGCACAAACTGGATCTTTTATGGTGAGTTGATTCTCTGAATGTACGTTTAGGGGGCCCGGACTCCTGAATTTCCTTGAGGCATCTACAGCAGAATCTTGGGGACTTAGAGATGAGGGTTGAGTTGATTTATCGTTACTTGGGGTTTGCACACTTTCATTAACTTTGAAATTAGACAAATGATGACCTTGGTGATTCCCCTCAAAACCGTCAGAGGAAGGGTTTGTCTGAATCGCTGCATCTTGCATTTTTGTCTTTTCCTCACAGGGTTGATTCAGTTTTTGGCCTGCTACTAATGATGGAGCTAGATGATTTTCCTTGTAACTTTCAGCAGTATCAGTTTTATGTGCCTGATAGTTTGATAGTCTGTCAGCTCCCATGTCCACACTGTTATCTTTGGCAACACCTCCCACATTGATTTCTGTTATCCTCACTCCATTTTTCATATTTTCTGTGTCCGTTGGAATGACAATTATTTCATTTTGATCTACTAAGGGAAAAAAATATTGTCAAGTGAAATGTATGAAAAAACTAGAAAAAAAACTCAAGTTTTCAATGTCTGCCTCCCCCAAACTGAAGTAGGTTGGTTTGGATTCTACAGGTAATTTTCAGCTAATTATACAAAATCAAGTAATAGCATTAGGAAGGAAAATCATGGGCTTTGGTATCATAGAAATCAGAGGCTAGAACCCGGCTTGACTGACTACAGTCTGTGTGGCCTCAGCATGTGACCTAACCCCTTTGAGCCTCAGTTTGCTCAGATGTAAAAAGGTAAAAACTTGTATTATATTTTATATGGCATTTATATAACATGCCAAATAGGAGACGATATTGCCCAGAACAAGCAGTCCATGGAAGATAGCTACGTTTCTCCTGATAGGTAGACTTCATATTTCAGTTAATGTTAAGAATGACAATAGAAATTGACAAATTCCAAGATGTTTTTCCTTTTTTTTTTCCTATTTTGATTCTGTCTTTTCTATAACCCCTAGTGTATTTCTATTTCACGCCTTACATCAAAAGGGAAACAAGCCCAGTGAATGTTATCAGTTTTAATTAAGGCAAACAATAGTAACATTACCTTTAAGAGTTGAAGTAAAAACAAATTCTCAGTTGACTGTCTTGGTAATTAGGCATCCTTGATAAAGATTTTGTTTTCAGTCATAATATGGGTGATTTCAACTACAGAAAAACAATCACGTGCGCTCTGATTTTTCTCTGAGAAAAATTCTCATGTCAGAGTCCCAGTAGAGAAAGCAGCCTCTCTCTCCCCTGCACTACTTTTCCTCTTAATTCTAATTCAGATCTCCTGAAAGCAAAAATCACTTGCCAGTGTCTAGGTTAACAAGCAACAGTTGCCAGCCAGCAACACGATGGCAAAGAATTGGAACGAGGCATCTGGAAGGAAACACAGGTTTATGGGTGTGTGCTATGTGTTCTGGTCCTCAGGGAAGTGATTTATATACTGGGCTCCTGTAGTCAAATGCCCAGAAGAATCATTGCTTCTGAATGACCGACTAACCCTCATCTTCAAAATCCTTAGTGGCTTCCCGTTCCAGATAGGGCAGCAGTTCATACAGCACAAGTGAAATGTGAGCCTTGGGAGTCAAATCGTGAAAGGATGTCAAGTATTTCTCTAGAGTTGTATCATCACTCACTTTTACTTATAAGATAATGAACAATTTCACTGCCTAAAATGTCATAAGCTATTCTGAATAGTTCTGTTAAAAAAGAAAAATATTGGGGCGCCTGGGTGGCGCAGTCGGTTAAGCGT